ATCTATCTATCTATCTATCATATTTATATAGCCGCCCATCTCACACAAGGTGACTCTGGGCGGTGTACAACAAACTTCTGTGAACTCTGAAGGGTCTGCCCTAGTTAGTACATGGATAAGGGTCTACCTGGGAATTCTAGAACTATTGACTAGGCATGGAAGTCAAGAAAACGTCTTGGAAGAAGACAAGGGCAATCCATTTTGATAACACTGCCAAGGAAACTGTATGGATCCAGCCCCCTGAAGTCCAGTTCCACTCAAGTCCATCTTTCCTGTAATAGGCTGTTGTTGACTCTTTCTGAATAATGGATATTTATAATCTGCACTGCTTGCGTATTTGGACACAAGGCCAAAATAACAAAGCTGCCATCTGACCACGGTTTGCTGCCTTGTCTAGCGAAATTCTCTGTACCGTCTTGAGCGTGAGTACTCTAAGTAAGAGGCACAGAGTTCAATGAGACCTAGTCCCAGATAGGTTCCTATGAGGATTGCAGGCCTATATTGGGAAGAAATTTATCTCTGTCAGTAAGTATTTAAAAAGATTAAGGGCTTAAATTTTAAGCAGATTAGTGAAAATATATTCTTCCAAATAGCCTACAGCCTTTCCAACTCTGGAGAAAAAAAAAGAATATGATTATTAGAAGATTGGGAGGGCTAAAGGTTGCATTTATGTATCCATTTATCCAAAAAAATGAGATTCACAATATTGCTGTAATTATTGCTCTTGTCCACTTGGTGCCCGGGACTACAGTTCTCATACTCCCCGGTCAAGAAGGAAGTAGGTGATTACAACTCACCAGTTGTAGGGTCTGTTTATGGGATGATCTCAGAAGACGTGCTGGTGCCCTTGCAAATATTTTTTCAGTGCAGGTGGAGATAATCCTTTTCTGTCAAGCACTTCTGTACTGTGAATTTAGGGGCCGCTCCACACTGCAATAATGCATTATCTTTGTTTACAGATTGCCTTTCTTATTTTACCATTTTCATTTAATATTTTTAGAAGCTCTTAATATTTAAGAACTACAGCTGATGGGTGGATTAGAAACCGACTAAACTGTAAGAATGTTCAGACTTCCTGGAATATATGTAATTTAAATGACCAGGCTCAAATTATCCTACTCTGGACACATTAGGCGAAGACCCAGCTCCCTGGAAAAGGCTCTGATGCTGGGAAAAGTGGAAGGAAAGAGAAGAAGAGGACGACCAGCAGGAAGGTGAATTGATTCAGTTACAGTGGTGATGCGGGCACTGTTGGAAGACCTCAAAGACCAGGTTAGTAAGAGGTCATCATGGAGAAAATCTATCTATGTGGTCACTAAAAGTTGACACCAACTGGGTGGCACGTAATCATTCAGTGCAAAGACCTAGCTCTCTGGAGAAGGCTTTGATGCTGGGAAAGGTGGAAGGAAAGAGAAGAAGATGAGCACCAAAAGATGGATGGACTCAGTTACAGTGGTGATGGATACACCACTGGAATACCTGAAAGACCAGGTTAGGGATAGATCATCATGGAGGAAATCTATTTTTGTGGTCACTAGGATTCAAAAATAATTTGATGGCACATAATCAATCCATCCATCCATCAATCAATCAATGGAATATATATCATTTTTCTCTGCATATCATCTACTAGTTTTAAGGGCTAATGCTGCATACCTTTCTGAATACTAAGTAAATTTAGGCCAATTGTCCACCAGGACTTATAACATCTTCATAGCATCACCCATTGCTGAAGTGATCTATAAAGCCTGTCCTCATTATCATTATTTTGGCTCAAGAGTGTTTGGAATACTCTAGAAGATGCGGGTGGAGAAATGTCCATGGTCCATGATAAGTATCTAAATGAAGTTACCACCACACTTTTGTCCTTCCTCAAATCCTTAAATGAAGAAAAAGCACATCTATTCAACTATACAGCTGAAGCTCCATTGTGAATGACTTTTGCCCAAGTCAGAAGATTTTTTGATTTCTAATCTGTGCCATGTTTAAGGCTTATGACAAAGAATTCCCAGGATTCTAACAACCATAATTCATTTCAGTTCCTACATAGAACTCCACAATACATGATATTATGAGAGGCAAAAACATGTCAGTGAAATCAATTTCTAAAATTACAGCATCACAGAGAAAATTTGTCTTTTAGCAACTGCTAAAACATGCAAATTCAATAACATCTCAGCATCCCACCTTTACAGCTTTCTAATATAACAAATGCCAGCGTGAAATGCTCTTAATGATTGGTACATAATTTCAATAACTTTAGTGCAGCAGTAAATCACATTTTATTTTGTTCTTGAGTTGCAGGGAATGATAGCCTCAGCTGTAATAAAAAGAGCAGGATTAGCAAAGCTATTTCCTTTGGTCAATAACAAACTTGTGCATAAATCTACATGATCATCTAGGTCAGACCTCATAAACCCACGTTTCCTTCCTGTTATCAAGCTGACCATGAAAGAATTTTACAGTTTAAGAGCTGAAGAGTTTGATTTTACTCCCTTTTTATTCCCATGCATATTTCAAGCATGCTTCAAAGATTGTTGGTATGTTAAATTGATGGAGCCATCCTTGGAATGTAATAGCTGATGCTCTTGTTCTTAATGAGAGTCTTCTGTTCTCGGTATGAATAATGGGTTTTGAATGCTTTTACTATGGCCCCAAATCCTATCTTCTTCACAAAAGGAAGAGTGGAGTGGAGTGTTGGGCTGAGTTGCAAAGGAGCAGGAGATCCAAGGGAAATGAAACACAGAGGGTAAGTTTGGACCAGTCATTTTCTTTCAGCCCAACCTTCCTCACAGGGGTGTTGTTACTGCGGGGAAAAGTAGGAGAGAGTGCTAGATACACTGCTTTGAGCTCCTGAAGGAAAAGCTGGAATTCACACACACACACAAACACACATATTGTTTTTCCATGCAGGAAAAGCACCCCATGTTCCTTCATACATGTGGGATTGTCGAAAGCTGCCATTTCAATGAACAGTATTAGCAGGAAGGAGGACTTGGAGAAATGTGCTCTTATGCTGAGATGATTAAGGATGCAATATTATTGTACACCTAAATTAACATTTCCTTCAAGTCAAGCCCAAGTTCTGGTGACTTCATGGGTAAGTCCGTGTAGTTTTTTAGCAACAGTACAGAAGTGCCAATAGAAAAGAACCAAAGTGATTTGCCATTCTTTCCAGCATTTTTTTTTTAAGTTTCTTCCAGACCAACCTACAACCCTGGGATTTCCTGGTGATGCCCCATCCAAGTAATAAACTGGTCTGACCTCAGTTTTATGAGATCAACCAAGATCAGCTAGGCCCTGCTATCTAGCCAGGCACTGTACACTTAACATTGAGAATAAGAATCCGTTACACCAGGGTTTCTCAACCTTGGCGACTTGAAGATGTGTGGACTTCAACTCCCAGACTGCTGTACCGTAC